GACTCTCTGCAGCAACACAAACATTCACTGCACATATCTGGCCCCGTGCCTTAGTTTGATTTAGTGCAATATAAAAAATGCAAATAATTTTTCTGTGGACCACCAAAATTTTCTCGTGATCACCAGTGGTCCACGAACCACCAGTTGGTGACCACTGCCTTAAAGTGTCTGAGGTTGAGAAATACTGGCCTAGAGATACAATTGAATTCCAAATCTTTTAATTTAGGCTTTCATTCGGGGAAGTATCGGATGTGAATTTGCTTCAAAGCACAAACACACACATTTTGTTTACAGCGCTGAAAATGTTCGATAGGAACATGCTCAAAATATTACCTGCCAAAGTTTCCACTTTTGCAAATATGACAGTCGGTTTACACTAACATTTAGTCCATTATATACTTTGGTTTAAATTAGGCAACAAAGATAAAAAGCAAAAATGAAACCCATACATTCAGCATTACTCTTCAATAGTTAAGCCACTGATACCAAGAGACATTTTCCAAGAATACGGAGAGTCCATTGTTCATGTTCTTCTATTAAGCATCTACAATGGCAGTAATTTTAAGTTCCCAACCAAGTGTTTACTTCATTTCTATTTATTTATACATTTAAAGGCTGCATATTGCCACCTAGCTCTGACAGGGGCTCATAAAAACAGAATAAAAACAGAACACCCCATCTCACCCGGTGCCAGGACAACCAGCTATCAAATTCCTGGCTTAACCCCATCAGAATTTTTGAAGCCCACCCCTGAGCCCAGTACATGCAGAAAGCATCCAATAAGATCTTTGTTTTTCTACCTGATATTTTTGATTCAGTTCATCCGCCTGCCTTCTGTAGATGCATACAAGCCTAGCATTCTTCTATGGTTCCAAGAAAGTCTTACTGATTGGCCAAATAGTCATAACCTCCTAACAGATGAAGAGAATAATAAAGTTTGGAAGGGAACCTTGGAGGTCTTCTAGTCCAACTCTCTGCCCAGGCTGGAAACCCTAGACCAGTTCAGACAAATGATTGTCCAATCTCTTCTTTAAAACCCTCCAGTGATGGAACAACCAGAAACTCTGGAGAACCTAACCCAAGACTTTCCCCAGTAAGGTTTTGCAACTGTTTCCTTCTGGCCTTTGAATGTGTCTTTTGCTACTTTTCCTGTTCCAAAATCAACTTCCTTGGATTTTCTACCTGTTTTTGTTCAAACTGAGGAGTCTCCTGCAGAACTCTTAGCTTCATTATCTGCCTCGCTTGGTTTTTCTTTCATCTATTTACTCCCATATTTCCTGCGACCCATTGCCCTCTGCCCCACTCACATGGCCTTTTTTGACACTCTATCATCTCAAACCAGCTTCCAACCTCCATTCTCTCTTCTTCACTCTGACCGTCATGATACCTGATAAATCTACCTATGAGCCCAGAACACCACCCTGGACCATAATTCTGTTGGATGTGGTAGTGAACCATCCTATTTATTAGTTTGTTTGTACCTGGCTTTTATTATTTTAACTCAAAGCAACAACACAACTTCCTCCTTCTTGTTTGCCCAGCACAACAACCCTGTGAGGGTGCATTGGGCTGAGAGGGACTGGTCCAAGGTAGGCCAATTGGCTTTGATGTAAGGCAGGACTAGAATCATCATCTCCTAGTAATTGGTCCAGGGTCACCCAACTGGCTTTCAGGGCTAAGGCAAGACTAGAACTCATGGTCTCCTGCTTTCTACTTGGTGCCTTCACCCTAAGACTTGTTCTGACGTAGACTTCCCCAAAAAGCATGAGGTCTGGACAAAACCCCTTTTATTAAAACGAATGTGAATTCTTCTCATTCCCATTCAGCAAAGGCCTGGTAAAATATTTCAAAGGAATATTTATTTACAGACCTTATCTATTTTGGAAAACTGCCATATAAATATTTTTCAAATGCGGTGCTGTGCAAGGAAAAACTGGACACAGAGTCTCTGAGATTTACGGACAGATCTTCACACTCCTGAAACAAATCTAATGACTGAACGAACAATTTTTTTCCTGCAAAAGCCCACTCCCTTTTTGCTCCTCTTTTATTTCCTATGGGAGGGGCCAATCACCTTCCATCTGTGACTTTACTCCCAAATCAACCCTGATTTCTGAGTT